TGGGTCTTCAGAATTGCAGCTGGGTTCTAAGAGGGTGTGCTTCAGGAGTGAGTATTCCTGGAGAACCAGGTGAAAGTTGCAAGGCTTCTTATGACCTGGCATTGGAAGTCATGAAGCATGACTTCTACCATATGTTATTGGTCATAAGCAAGACACAGGTCATGTTGCAAAAAGAGTATAAAGAGGTCCTGTGTGCCCGTCACTCAGGTTCCCCCAGTGGTAACCTCTTACATAACTGTAGTACAATATCAAAACAGGGAGATTGATGTTGGCAAAATCCATAGTCTTTACTCAGATTTCAAGAGTTCTTTCAGTTTTAACTTTATATGTATCTCAAAGTTACAACTTCTCTCTATTTTTACCACTACATTTTTTTTTTGTCTAAGCTGCCATCATCCCTTTTAGGACTATTGCAATATCTTCCTGGTTTCTTGCTCCTACTGTTATTCTTCTCCAATCTATTTTCCATAAAGCAGCAAGAGGGATCTTCTAACAACATTATTAAATCAAATCCTTTATTACTTACCCATTGCCCTTAGAATAAAATTCAAACTCTTCATCATGATCTCTAAGGCCCTATTTGACCTGGATCTTATCTACCTCTTCAGTGACATCTTGTACCATGCCTTCCCTGGACACCTCGAGTGCACCCTTACTGTTCCTGCTGCCTGGGTGCACTTCCTGCAGCTCTTCAAGTGGCTAGCTCCGTCTTGTCTTTCAGGTCTCAGCTCAATGGCCCTTTCCTCGGGCTGTCCTTGATCATCCTACCTGAAGCATCACTCATCATTCTTGTATTGCCTCCTACATATAAATGATCCCAATCCATAATAATCTGATTTATTTATTGGTTTACTGCCATAACTTTCCTCTCCTATACTATAAGTTTTATGAGGTAGGAACTTGCTTGTACCATTCACTATTTTATTCTTACTGTCCTGCACAGGTATTTGTACTCTTTGCCATGGAATGTGTACTTAGTAAATGTTTGAAAGACTGTTGACTGGGTTAGGGACTCTAATGATGGCACTCTGTAATCTAAGAGCTGTTCTATCAAACAGCAGTTGTGAGTTGCTCAGAGAAGAGCTAAGGCCTGTTCCCAGACTGAATGCACAATGGCTTCTACTTCCTCCTCCTACATTTTTCAGGATATAGAAGAAAGAAAATTTATTTTTTTGATAATCAGCTTGCAAAATAGTAGAGTTTGCTTTTTGTGTTAACTCCTACTCATGCCTCCCACCTGGGAAGGCCTTTAGCCTGGCAAAGGGGCCTACATATACTGCTACACCTCCATAGCACTTTAGTGAGCTAAAATTTTCCTTTGATGAAATTCACCCATTTTAAGTATGATGATGGGGTTGATGAGGCTGACCAATGTATATGCTCATGTAAGCACTCCAGAAAGTTCCATGTGCCTTGGCTGCTTCCATTAAAAAAAAAAAAAACAACTTGTGGTAAAATACACATAATATAAAATTTACCCTCTCTAGGCGTGCAGTTCAGTGGTATTAAGTACACACACGTTGTTGTGCCGCTATCACCACCATCCATCTTTTGAACGCTTTTCATATTGCAAAACTGAAACTCTGTACCCATTAAATAATTACTCCGTATTCCTCCATTCCCCTATCCCCTGGCAACCACCATTCTACTTTTTGTCTCATTAATATGAGTTTTGGCTCCTTTTTAAAATTGTGGTAAAATACACATATAAAATGTACTATCTTAACTATTTTTAAGTGTACAGTTCAGTAGTATTAAATACTAAACTGTTTTAAAAGTATGTTTATGTTTAGTTGTGATTGAAGAAAACTCAAAGTAACAGTAGTTCAAACACGGTATTCCATGGTATCTCTGAGAGTTCTCCCTGTCATCAGTACAAATGCAGGCTTTGTCAATGCAACCTTGTTCTTTGTCGCTTGTAACACAGCTTCTATCTCATAGTCCAAGGTGGTTTCTTCAGTTGCAGCCATTACCTCCATGTTTCATCCAGTGTGAAAATGAAGAGGAAAAAAAGCACACATTCTCCCTTCAAGAGCACTTCATAGAAATTACACACATTATTTTGTGTTTGTGTCCCATTGGACAGAACTTAGCCACATATGCTCATCTTGCTTCAAGGGAGTTGGGAAAAGTTGTCCTTGTTCTGGACCACATATTTCAATTCTAATCTGTGGGTTCTGTTGCTGAGAAAGAAGATAATTCATGTTGGGGAACATCCAGCAGTGTCTGTCACAGCTTCCCTGCTTCATAGCACTGATCACTGCACTGAAATCAATTATTCACTTCTTACTGAACTGTAGATTCCTTCAGCCAAGGGCAGTGTCTTTTTCCTCTTATGCCAGTGCTTAATATTTGTTGTACAAATAAATGATTCTAGCATAAACATCTTATTTTATTTTAAAATAAAGATTTAAAAAATCATTACCTGAAGATATATTTATTGATTTTAGAGAGAAAGAAAGCAGGGTGGAGAGGGAAGGTGGGGGAAGGGGGAGAAAGGTGGGGAGAGAGAGAAAGAAAGAAACATCAGTATGAGAGAAACACGATCTGTTGCCTCCTGTACGCACCCCAATGAGGATTGAACCACAACCTAGATATGTACCCTGACCAGGGATTGAACTCTCAGCCTTTTGGACCTGCAAGTGTATGGGATGATGGTCCAACCAACTGAGTCCCCTGGCCAGGGCACGCAACCATCTTATTTTAAAAATTAGAGAAGCAAGGCATTGAAGAGTTAAAAATGACTAGGGTCATTTAGTCCAGTTTCCCCCCAAATTCAGGAAACTCCTTTCCTGCAGACTGGGCAGGTGGCCCCCACTGACCACATCTACTTCCAGGCACTCTCTGCCTCTGTTTCTGGGAAGCTCCACCTGTCAAAAGCCCTTTCCCTTCTGCTTGGTGCTATGCTGCTCTCCCTGTGTCCTTTTCCATACCATCACCTGCTCCTGGGTTTTCCCTCTGTCAGGCAGTCTTCACAGGACGTGATCTTTCTTCATGGGTGGGTAGAAATTTAGGCTACGAACCTTGAACAGAAAGACAATCCCACCTTTGTCCTGAAGCTCTCCTGGTTTGAGCAGAAGAAAGCCGATGACCCTCACACATTACCAGGACTCTCAAGGACTTCAGCCTCAACATTTTCTCTATGGTAGATGAGGAAATGATTTAATCTTTGAGGATTTGCTTCTTTCACCTATAAAGACAGACATGCCTTTTACAACATGAAAGGTGCAGACACAGATTAATGTCATGTTGAGGAGGTAGGAGGATGCATGTCAGGGAGGATGACCCTGGACACTTGATGGATTTATTAGCTGGTCAGTGAAAGTCCCAGTGTTTCCTAATGGTGATCCCCTTGTCCTTCCCAAGGGAGTTTCTTGGTGTTGGAAGGACCCTCACACTGTGCCCCTCAGACATTCCTGTCTTGATGGATGATCCAATCAGAAGTGGCAATGTGGGGAGGGGTTTCTGTTGCCACTGAGTAAGAATCCCATGTTCTTACCTTAGGTGGGGACTGAGATAGCTAAGGGGGTGAGGAAGAGTTGGGAGCAGATTGATGAGTTGGGGTTGGGGGCATGTGTGCAGGAACTGGCCCCAGCCCTCTTTATCATTAGCCCAGTCACTGCAGATGTCCCGCAGCCTCCACAAGACCTCCCAACTTGACCAGAGAGGAACTGGTGGCTGTTGTGCTTGCCTCGGAAAGCCCTCAGCAGCCCAAGCCCACAGCTGTCTTTCTGGGCTGGCTGATGTTGCGAGGCCTGACGGCTCTGAATGGAAGTTGTAGGGCTCCTTCTTGGGCCCAGGCCTGTTTGTTTTCTTCTTCTCCTTTCCTGCTTTCGTATAGTCCCTGGTCCTCTGATGTCCGTGGTTTCCTAAGCTAAGCCCACCCACAGCAAGCCTCAGGTTCTCTTCCCTCAAGCATGGCTGCAGAAAGCAAGACTATCTCTCCAGAACCCTTGTAGAATGTGGTCTCCAGGGAAACAGTGCGAGGGTGTGACAAAGACCACATGTGAGACATTGCACATGTACCAGGTTCTCACAATAGTCTCACAGTTGAGGCTTCACACCTGGCTTCCCAATTTCTTTCAGAAAGAAGTTCTGGCTCTACCGTAGTACTCCCTGGATGGCATTTGAACTCCCTGCTCCCTCAAAGGCTCTTTTTGTCGGCAGAGTGTTTGCGGTTCAAAGCAGGGCAGTACAGAGGGGCTTGTGTCCATGGGTCTCTCCTTCTGGAGACCTCAGGCTGGCTGCACCATGCTGAGAGACTGTCAGTCCACACAGGGGTGGCTGGGTATCATGGTTGGTGAAACAGGCAGCTCTCACTTCCTGTGGGCCTCTCTTTTGCCTTCTTTGGGCATGGTTAGTTATTACAAGGGCTGCTGGCAAGGCATTGCTAAGAGGTGTCAGGAGTAGAAGCTGGTGACATGAATTTAGATACTGGACCTTTAAGCAAATGCTCAGAATTACTTTACCTAGAGCTAAATAACAAATGAGTCAGCCTCTGGGTAGTTGCCACCCTCCTCCCTCAATTCCCTGGCAAAACAGGGAAGGCTGTCTGGGGGCTGCCTCACTCTGTCAGCAACTGAAACCTGGAACCACTGTGGGATCCTATTCTAGCATCCAATGCCAGCATGAGCCCTGATGCTATTTGCTGTCAGCACATTGTCTTTTAGGGGAGGGAGCCATGGATGGGCTTCCGTGCTTTCTCCCCACCCCCAAGTTCTTACACCTTCATGATGTGGGCCCCACACCATGCACACTCCTGTTCCTCTACTTGCCCCAGCACTAGTCTTCTCCATAGCAGATGTAATTTGAGGGGGCATTTGAGAAAAATCATATCAGAGAAGAAAAAGCGGATTTTACATCTTAGTGCTTGTTAGCACATTCCAGAGCCAGGGCCACGTGACTCAGTCCACACATTGGCAGGTGAATCTGTCATTCCCATCAGGTGAGTCAGCAGAGATGGAACATTCATTTATTTGGGCAAATGTGTTATGTTAGAGTCATTCTGAGAAGTCCAGCATGCTTTGGTAGGAAAAGGGAGAGGAAGAGGTGGCAGGTTGGACCTCCTGGATGTATGGCTAAAGGAGGGTGGCAGGCCTGGGGACAGAAGCAAAGCAGAGCCAGGACGACAGATTCCAGAGGTTTGGTTTTATTGTGCAGTTTTCTTTTTCCTCAATGAGATGCTATAAGCTGTGGTGGCACTATACATGGTCCCAGGACAGGGCAGAGCTGCCTGATGGGGAGCTGGGTTTTGGGAAAACCCATTTCTCAAGGCATGTCGTGCTCATGGTATTCACTCCATGGCCTGTCTCAGGCCCCCCAGAGATCCCTGAGAAGGCAGGCTTGTGGGGCAGGGGGATGGCTGAGGCTCAGCTATCTGGGGTTGGCACTGGCTGTGGAGGGAAGGAAGAGCTTCCTGGAGAAATACTTGGGCCAAATTACTTGGCTCTGTGGCTCCCTATGGCCTGCATAGTGCCCCCAGGTCAGCATTCTGGAAGTTCTCTGGAGCTTGGGACAACCTGGGAAGGGGCCTCTCTTCCTCTGCCACCCTCCCAACTATTGGTTAAGGCAGTGAGGGACAGTAGGCTCCCATTTTTATCTTCTTCAGGTAGGGGAAGATAGTGGACCTTCCTTCCTATCCCCCTTTCCAACCCTCCATTAGCACTCCTCCTTGGACAGAATCTGTATTTCCACTGGACTGTGCCCTAGGACTAGGGCCCCTAGGGGACTTCTTCAGTAAAGAGGGCAGCTTTTGTGCTGGGTTGGAGAATGCTCCTAATGATGCTCAGTTCTCTTCTCATGTGATAGACCACAAATGCTTGGTCACAGATGGGGGTAGGGGGCTGATGAGGGATGTGCTAGACCCCAAAACACCCCATCCCCCTCCTCATCAAGGTCTCCCTCAGGTTTCTGGTCCCCGTCGGCAAAGATGGCCCCTCAGGGACTGGTACCCTCTATCCTACAACCCCTCCCAGGCCCTCACTCTTTATTAGGTCCCCAACTTTGGCTTCCCTTTTCACAAACTCCCAAAGAAAAGGAAGAAAAATCCCTAAATAAACAAGGCAGAAGCAGCTCAGGAACAAAGAGGACAAAAAGCTAGTGGTGTCCAGAGAGGGTGTGAGATGGCAGTTGGGGAGTGGGTAAATAATGGCATGCGACACTGAAATTCCTTATGAGGGATGGGGTTCCCATTTTTCCCCAAGGTGTGTGGGGGATTGGGGGGATGAGATCAGCCTACTTAGAGAAGTAGGATCTCTGGACAGGGCCTTGTGGCTTCCTGTGTCCTCCATGGGCCCAGCCAGTCAAAAGGAGATGAAATCCATGGCCAGCAGGAGGGGCAGGGAGAGCAGGGGCAGCAGCAACCACGATGTGTCCTGGGCCAGCAGGCTTATGCCTCCGCACTTGACCAGTTTGTCTGTGGAGAGAGAATGGGGTAGAGGGGTAAAGCAGGAATGAAGAGCAGGACTAGGGCAGCCACAAGCCCAGAGCTAGGGTGCATTTCCCTGGGGAGGGCTGGAACCAGGGCCAACCTGGTCTAACAGAACCAACCCTTTCTCTCATTGCAGGTTCCTGAGCCCTTGAGCAAACATCATATCACACCTTTACTAAGCATCTCCACAAGAAAACGGTGGGTGAAGGAGGATTGTGGAGGCCAAGTGATTTGCCTTCGGTCATGGCAGAAGCCTATGCTACACCACTTTGCCTGTCTGACTGTCCCCTTAACCCTTCCCCCCATTCACAATGAAGGCAATGATTCTCCAGGACACAGGTGGCCTCTTCTCTGGCCCAGCCAGGGGGACCGCCTGCTGTCCTAGGCAGCCTATTTCTCTCTGGCTTGCCTATCCCTGCTCACTTGGCCTTGTTGGGGGCTTTCCTCACCTCTGATCACAGAGACATTCTTGTTGGAGAAGGTGGGGGACTGGCTAGAGAGGTGGAGTTCACATGTGTATGTCCCCTCGTCCTTGGTGGTAAAGCCAGATAAGTAGAGGACCTTGATGTTGTACTTGCTGGTGAAGTTGGTTCGGGAGCGGTATGTGTGCTCAGGCACCCCCACAGTGCCAAAGAGCACGTGCTTCTTTGAATCACGGGTCAGGCTGAACTCGTACTGAATGGGCAAGGAGGTGGTGTTCTCATGGCGGCAGTCCAAACGAAGGCTCTGGTCTACCAGGCAGGCTGTCAGGCTGGTCACCTTCTGTCCACTGGCCATCTGCAAGACTGGCACCAGCAGTGCCTTCTCTGAGTTGGGGGGACCTGCAGAGCAGGGGGTCTCCCACCCACATTAACAGGACAGAGGGGCCTGGACAGGGAGGGCACAGGGGTCTGGTCTACTCTCTGAGCACCTCTCCCCACCACAGCATACTGCAGGTGCTAGCCTCCCTCCCTCATGTACTTTAGTTCTGCATCCCACCAGTGTGCCTTAGTGGTAGGAGATCTTGGAAAGTTGGTACGGGTTTCTGGTTCTCACATGGAGTTTCCACGTCAGTATGGAGTAGGCTCTGTGAAATATGTTTCCAAAACCAACTAGGTTGCTCAACTGACTTAGGGATAAAAAGGAGCCCTTTCTCCCTTAATCATCTCCACCTTCTGAGGTCATGAGGAAGAAGCTGGCTTCTCTGAAGGAAGGAAGCCAAGGTACTTGGAATCCCAGACCTACCCCTTGCCCAGTACCTGTCAGGAGGAGAGTGAGGCTGATAGCGGGGTTCATGGTGCCAAGAGCTCAGTTCTGGACCTGGGAGTGGGAACAGGATTGGAATCAGCCAAGAGATGAAACAGATGTGCCCACACGCGCTGCTGGGGCTGGGAGCCCATGGAATACATGCCATAATGGTCATGGCAGGCATCCAAACCCTTCTCTGCAGCCTTCTTCCTCCTACTTCTCAGTGAAGGTGACACTGCCAGTCATTCTTTCTCCTCAGGGAAAGCAAGAGGTGTGTGTCTGTGCTAAACACTTACCAGGTGGGCGATTCTCAGTAAGTGACTTTAACTTTACCATTTTACTTTCCCTTCAGGAAGGCAGCGTCTTCTTATTTTGTAATTGTGGTTAAGTACATATAACACAAATAGCGTTGTTCATTTATTCAATATATTGTTGTGCAACCAATATCCAGAACTCTTTTTATCTTGCAAAACTAAAATGCTCTTAAACAAAAACTGACCATTCATGGACTTCCTAGTTCTTATTCAGAAGAAAATCCCCAGTGTCCAAACAGTTCCTGGCACATAACAGATGCTCAAAAGATGTCGAATGAATGAATGGATCTGAGCCCCAGATAACCACAGGGTTGAGATGTCATTAAGAAAAATGACAAATATATGGCACTTTGCTCCATAGTGAGTGACTAATTTCCCTCATCTTAGTGACTGTGTGGTTGGGATGATGTCTCGTGTGTGTGGCTAAGGTATTCCCAGATAGGACTGTACTTGGCACACAGATAAGTGTATTTCCAGATGTGTGTGAGGGAGTGACAGTGTTCTCCTATTGTAAATATTGCCTGATTGTATAGAAACCAAGATGTTTCCAAATGTCCAGTTCTCTGTGCAGAACTGGCTTCAAATAGCCTCCTGCCTAGGCACTCTGCCCTGCCTTTTGCAGTGTAAGCTGGCAAGTCGACACGGAGCGGGTATCCTAGCCTGGCGGCAGGGTGTTCAATAGGGAGAAGTCATAGGACCAGCGCCTGAGAGTGTGACCCCGGCCAGGCCCTGGTGCATGCCCTGGGATGCTCTCTCTCGGAGTCCAGGGTCCCCGGCTCTCCGCCAAGGTGGGGCGAGGCTGGGGTCCTGCGGTGGCTGCGGTTACAGTTAATACCCTCTCGTACCCAAGTCGAGAGGGACCTGGAGGTGCTGTTGGAGAAGAAAGGGAGGTTGGCATTTACGGACACTGAGTTACCACTGAGTTACGGAAAAGAGGTGCTAGCTTGGGGTTTAGGAGCCGAAGCAGCAGCTAGGACAGAAACGGGAAGTGGAGCTGGGGCTGGAGGGGGTGGTACAGCCAAAGTGATGGTTATAGAGAAGTAGGGGAGACACAGCCTATTTTCATTTCCTCTGCCTAGGCTCTTTGCAGACTAGCACCCAGAGAAGCTCTGAGATACTGCCCTCTCCAGGTTCCCGTTCGACTAGCCCCACCCTTATTCCTTTTCCGTATTTGTGTCCTCTCCTTTCCCAATTGAGGTCTCCCTTCCCCCTCTCATCTTTTTCCAGTTCTCCCCTCCCTCGTCTGCCAGCCTTCCGCCCAGTCCCCTCCCGCGCTACTGCGGTTTCCCATTACTCGGATGCCCCGCACCCAGCCTGCCCTGAGGTAGCAGGGCAGATATTTCCTCCGGCTTGCCACCCTCTATTGTCTTCCCCCAACTTCAATGCCACTCCCCCCACCTTTGAGAGCTCGATTTGGGGTCGTCTGGTGGAGAGCAGAACCCAAGAACCCTTGGAGCCCTTCCTCCAGGTTCTCGCCTAGCTCCTTAGCTCCAGAAACCATCACCACGAGCGAGCGAAAGTCCGGGACGCCTTCTTCGAGAGGCAGGATGTGGTCAGGTCCCCTGCCCCGCAGCAGTTGCGTCGGGCTCCCGCCCCTGCCTGGGAAGCTGGCCCCTCCCCTGGAAGGTGACCCCTCCCCAAGCATTGTGCTCCTCCTTCCCAGGGAACCGTTGGACCATTTTCTGAAGCCTCCAGTTGAGAGAGCTTGCATGGGCACCTGGGGCCTACCACCGCACCGCTGCGCCGAGGGTCCCGCTGTGACTCAGGCTCCCACCTGGGCTCAGGTCCTGCGATGCTGCAGCCTCTTCGAAACACCGCCTCCAGATGCTGCACCCTGCCGGGCGCCCGCAGTTTTCACCAAGGTGGGAAAGGAGGAGCCAGGAGGGGGCTCGGCCAATCAGAGGCTGAGGGGGAGCTGGAAAGGATGGCAGAAGGAGGCGGCGGCGGCTCAGCACTGGTGTAAGAAAGAGTCTGTATGCGGCAGAAGGGGGACTTCACCGTGTGGCTCACAGGCTTGACCACTGAACCTGGGGATCCAGGCAGGGCAGCTCAGGGGCCGCCTCCCAAAGCTCCGCAGGGTTTGCTCCCCTTTAAAGGCGTTAACTTTCCCCCCCGCCCTTACCTAGGGTTCCGAAATCTGTGGGAAAACCAAGGCACAAAGAATGGAAGATGGAGGCCAGCAGCCTGTCCTCTTGGGCAGTGCGGTCACCTCCTTGTTTCTTTTTCAGTTGGAGTTGGACTCCTAGAGAGGCCCCGGTGAGAGGTTTTGGACTTGGAATTTTCCTGGCTTTTTCCAAAAGAAGATAGTGGGGTGTTTTCCCACATTGGAACAGACTTTGGAAAGCAAGGTGACACTGCACCTAATTTTTCCAGGTCCCCAGCCCCCCTGCCCCACCCTCTCCTTCATCCTAGAACACCTAGACCTTCGGGGGCTTTCTGAACTATTTGTCTATCTCAAATCCTGCGCTGGTTTTGTGTACTCACCTCTCCCCGCCACCCCGCCCCCGTCCTCCGCCCCCTCCCCCCTCGTCCCACGCCAAGTTTCTGAGTACTGTGTGTGCTTGGTCACCAGAAGCTCTTGGGTCTTCTCCTTTTTACAAACAGTGTTGATTACTTGTCTTTCCCACCCACAGGTGAAGGGAACTTTTTAAACAAAGGATTATTTTATTTATTTGCATTCTCATGGCCACTTTGTGAATTCTGGTCAGGACATCCTCTGTGCTGGCCTTGCCTCCCTCCTATCGACCTGCCCATTCTCTTATTTCTTCATAGAAATCAGCCCTGGCACCTTTGCTGCAGTTTCCATTACTGTGATGGCACTGTTGGAAGCCATCCCTGAGCTAGCAAGTGGGAAATTCACTTCCCTCTCCCACCCTTGGAGATTAGATGACCTCCCAGCATTTAGAGTGGTAGAACTTTCTAACTGGAATGAGCCTCATGGGCAGCCAAGTCCAGGGGTCATTCATTCTGGTAAACAACAGAAGCTCTGGGTGCACTTTAATGCAGCTGCCCCTGCCCACCTGGGATGTCCCTAGCATAGCAGTAGAGCTGCCTGAGTGTGCATTTTTCACAGCTCTTCAGAGTGCGGGGACTGCAGAACACTGGTCTGGTATAGGACCATTCTTTTCACTTGGACTTCTCAACTGGGCTTCTCATTGTTTGCAGGGTAATTTCTAAAGTTGCCGTCCTCTACCTCCAGCTCATCTTTCTAGACACTCTGGCCTCCTTTCTGTTATTCCATGTAGGATATTTTTTTCCTCTTTAACAGCTTTATGATTCTAAGTCCAGGGCTCTTTCCTCTCAGAACACTATTGCTTTGGCTTGGGGCCTTGTCCCCCCACCCCTCATGTGCATATGAACACACACAGGGGCTGGTGACAGTTAATTTTTTTGGCAGGACATGGGGATATCTGGGTTCTGGTTGGCTGGGACCCTGTATGTTTTGTCTTTCACTCTACAGACTAGTCTCTCAGTATGGCTGGGTGGAAGGCCTAGCTGTGCTATTTTGATAAAGTTATGAGAACCTGGCCTACTTTCTGGGTCCCCAAGCACTTCAGGAAGAGAGGAGTGTGTGGACTCTAGAGGGAGTGGCAATTGTGTGTTTGCTAAAGCAAGATCTCTTGCTGGATTCAGTTAATGGCTTAAATGAGATGATCTGGGAACACAGGGTGGTGAAGGGGAGATGATTTAAAAACTTCCATTTACTAATGGGACAGGATCAAATGCTGAAAGCAATAAGGTTTTAGAGGCATCTACCCAAGGCAAAATTTCTTGACAGATTGGCCACTTTGTTGGTCTCTTAGATCTTTCTTCTTTCCATCATCTCCAGTTGCTCCAGCTAGAGACACATGGGATACAAACTCTTCTAAAAGTGCACATTCCTTTAGGATGACTAAGGGAATACTTATTCACTGATTTCATCAGATTGTTCTTTATAGAATCACCGAGGTGGCAGAAACCATCCCATCCTTTTAGGGCTGGAAAATAAGGCCCAAGAAAGCTAATGATTTGCCAAAGTCCAGACAAATAATTTGAAGCACAGCCAGGAATAGCTAGATTTTAGATCTCCTGACTTCACATACAGTGCTTTCCATTGCTCCCAGGGTGGATCTTCAGACTTCTGCTTGACTGATTTTTCACTGGTTCACAGTGAACTAAGGAAAACAAGGACAATGTTGGAGCCCTATCTAAATGTCTCGGCATTGTGTAGGCACTCTGGTGGACAGTTCCAAGTGAATTTAGCCTTCAGAGTCATTTCAGCCCAGGCTTCAGACATGTAGATAAAGAAGCTTCCAGATAATCCTAGACCCACGCTCTATAAATTGTCCCCCTAGCTGTTTGTGTTTTTAAGCTGGCCCCAGATATTGTGGGACAGAGACAAATGTGGATTCCCAATCCACAGAGTCGCCAAGCTTAGTCAACGATGATTATTTTAGGTGATTTGTTATATAACAGTGGATACCTGATGCATAAATTGGTACTTAGTAGTATGGTGCTGTCTTGAAAACCTAAACATGCAGCATTGTCTTTGGGATTGTGTGGTGGGTAAAGGTTTGAGTGTAAAGCAGCAAGGGGGAGATTGTTGTGCAGGCAGGAGGAACAGTGAACAAAACTGTTAGAAGAGCCTGGAAACGTAGTAGGGAAACTGCTTGGAAGCTGAATCAAGGGTGATTCTATTATACAATGGTTAAACAATTGGTGAAATGTTGCTTGTGGTAACATGGGAGATAGAAAATGTTCCTAAAGAATTTGTAGATTTGGCTGAAGAGATCTGAAGATGGAATATTCAAAGTGCCATCTGGTTGCTTCTAGCTGGCATAAGGAACCATGGGGGGGGGGGCGGCGGGGCGAGAAAGAGAGAGAGAGATGAGCTAAGTAAGGATCTGTAGAGTTTTCTGGATTGGAAAAGAAATCTAGTTCTGATTTCCAGTCTCTCCAGCAGGCAACAGATTCTCAAAGTAAGAGCCAGTCTGAGTAAAGATGAAATCAAGGGTATGATTGTAGAATCTTTGCTAACACTCCAGGAAAATTTAAGATGGCGCCTAGCAGACCTACTCAGTTAAACAAAAGGATTTCCAATTATACTAAGGGTATTGGCCCATGCTGAACTAGCATCTTTTTTTAAAATAAAAATTTTATTTGTCAATTATAGTTTATATCAGTTTTATTTTGTATTAGTTTCGGGTGTACAGCATAGTAGTTAGACAATCATATCCTTTACAAAATGACCCCCCTTGTATTTCAACTACCACCTAGCACCATATATACTTATTATTATTGACTATATTCCCTATGCTGTACTTCACATCCCTGTGACTTTTTTGTGACTATGAATTTGTACTTCTTAATAAAGGTGAAGGGATTATTAAGAAGTACAAATTCTTAATCCCTTCACCTTAAGCCCATCAACCTTCCTCCCCTCTGGCAAATAATCAGTCTGTTCTCTGTATCTATAGTCTGTTTTCATTTTGTTTGATCATTTGTTTTGTTTTATAGGTTCCACGTATAAGTTAAATCATATGGTATTTGTTTTTCTCTGTCTGGCTTATTTCAATTAGCATAATATACTCTAGGTCCATCCATGCTGTCACAAATGGTAAGCTTTCATTTTTAAAAAATTAATCTTTATTGTATTTTTTCTGTTACTATTTAGTCCCCTTATACCCACCTCCCCTCTCCCAGCAATCACCACATTGTTGTCCATGTCTATGAGTCCTTTTTTGTTTTTGCTCAATCTCTCCATCCCCTAAAGCAACACTCCCACTAGCTGTCATCTGTTCTCCTTTTATGAAGCTGTCTCTGTTTTGCTTGTTAATTCAGTTTGTTTATTAGATTCCACATATGAGTGAAGTCATATGATATTTTGTCTTTCCCTGGCCAGCTTATTTCACTTAGCATAATGTTCTCCAGGACCATCCATACTGTTGCAAAGGGTAAAACTTCCTTCTTTTTTATGGCCAAGTAGAATCCCATTTTGTAAATGTCCTACAGTTGTGTTATCCACTCATCTATCGATGGACACTTGGGCTACTTCCATATCCAGGTGATTGTAAATAATGCTGCAAAGAACATAAGCGTGCTTATGTTCTTTCAAATTAGTGTTTTGGGTTCCTTTGGATATATTCCCAGAAGTGGGGTTGCTGGGTCAAAAGGCAGATCCATTGTTAATTTTTTGAGGTATCTCCACAGTGCTTTCCATAGTGGCTGCACCAATCTGCTTTCCCATGAAGAGTGCAAAAAGGTTCCTCTTTCTCCACACTCTCTCCAGAACTTGTTTGTTGATTTATTGATGGTGGCCATTCTGAAAGGTGTGAGATGGAATCTCATTGTAGTTTTAATTTGCATTCTTTGATGATTAGTGATGTTGAGCATCTTTTCACATGTCTATTGGCCGTCTGTATGTCCTCTTTGGAGAAGTGTCTGTTCAGGTCCTTTGCCCATTTTTTAATTGGGGTTTTTTAAAAATGTTTCTTTGGTGTTGAGTTTTGTAAGTACTTAACAAATTTTGGATATTAACCCCTTATTAGATGTATCAGCAAATATGTTCTCCCATTCTGTGGGTTGTCTTTTTATTTTGTTGATGTTTTCCTTTGCTGTGCAAAAACTTTTTAGTTTGATATAGTCCCATTTGTTTATTTCTTCTTTTGTTTCTCTCCCCTGGGGAGATATATCTGATAAAAAATTTCTATGAGCAATATCTGAGATTTTGCTGCCTATATTTTCTTCTAGGATTTTTATGGTTTTGGGTCTAACATTTATGTCTTTGATCCATTTTGAATTTATTCTTGTGTGTAGTGTAAGAAG